CGCTGCCGTCTCCTCCTTTGGCCATTATTTCAGCTTTAGCTTCAAGAAAGTTTTGTTGTAAACAAAGCGTGCGTCTGTGCCGCCGGCAACTTCAGCAGATGATACGGTGGCTGGTAAGGGTCACCGCGCCTACACCGCAGCCACGGTAAACCCACCAAGATAATATAGTTTTTTAAAAAACAAGACGGTTATTATTATTGTCAACTTTTTTACCGGGGTTTACCGCTACACTGGTTACCGTGACAACCCTACCTGATCGGTTTGCTTTGATCTATTTTGAAAATTCCGATCAAAACCGATAGGGGCGCTATCGGCCGATTACGATCAAATGCCGATCCATCGGTGCATCCCTACCCCAGATCGGCTGGAGGGATTTTATCCCCAGGCTAGCTGCAGGGGATTTCACTGTTGCAGATGCTGCCCTCACGGCCGAGGCCCGGAGAAGTGGACTCAAAAGCTCCATGACTCAAAATATCCTCTACAAAGTTTAAAAGAAAATCTGGCTAATTTAAAGGAGTATTTAAAATACATGTGAAGAGTTTTACTTGGTTTTTACTTAAATTTTTTTTGTTTACCTCGTATTTTTTATCTGTTTAAAATATTTAATCTTTTTATTTTACATATCAATTATGTGTAAAAGAATAAAAGCGTTTTCAGAACATTTAGCCCAGAGCTATTCAGTTCTTCGCTCTGAGTCAATGACTGCATCACCTCTTCAGCAGGTCCTCAAGTTCTTCAGAAGCCCGTTAATCACTCATTAGCCACGTTTACATGCGCATATTTAATCGGATTGAATGCCCATTCAGATTGAAAATTCTGCATGTAAACATGTCAATCAGAATATTCTGATCCGATTCGGCCCGATCGGATTGAAATTTCAATCCGATTGAGAGAGGTGGTTTATTCCGTTCTTCATTCCGATTGACGTGCATGTGCACAGCCATTCGGATTGTTGGGGTAAAACAATGCCCACTGCGCATGTGTGCAACAGCCAGCGGGCCTCTCCGCTGTCATTTGGACTGCCTGACTTCAAAAATGACGGTGTAATTAACAAGCGGCGGCTTTTAAATCCGACAACAAGCCGTCCCGTTTCAGTAATATTTAATTCAGAACTTGCATTTTGTGGAAGTAAAATAAAAATCTGATTATTGCACAAATCATTCGACAAAGATGTTCAAATCTTTACTGGAAATACGCAGGTTTATCGTGGGGGTTGCAGCGCACGGATCCCCGTTTCTGTCAGCTTTGAACACAGCAGCTTCTGCAGCAGGTGATGGAGACACGCTTGTAAAGAACACAGGATAATCTGGGTTTTACAGACCTGATTGGAGGCTGATGTTGGGTAGGAAAACGTCCTCGGTTAAATACTCTGGACGACAGTAAAGTCCGTGTTCGTTAAAAGCACGTAAACGCAGATGACCTGAGATGCGGTTCGTTAATGATGAACACAGGCTTCTAAACTTTCTGAACATCTTCTGTTATTTTGTTTGAACAGATTTTTCTCAACAGTTTCAGCTGATCGTCACATGTTATTAATAATAAGCCACAACAGAGCTCAGTAATAAAACATGAGGCTAACCCCCACCCCCCCCCCCCCCCCCCCACCCCCGCTCTGTGCCGCAGCGCAGCGCAACAGCTGTCAATTCAGACCTGCGGACCAGCTGATCAAGAGGCAGACATAACCCTCCCTTATTTTAATCAACAATAAAATGCAGCAAAGCATATATCTGCAGTTATTCACTGAAGAAAACGTAACTTCTATGAGCTAAATAAAAATATTAAATTGAATAAATGGATCAGGAAAGCAGGAAGAATAGTTATTTCTGTTTTTACATTTTTCTTTTCGTTTCATGGCGTTTGTTTACAATTTTTCTTTCGTGAAAGGCAACTCTGCGCATGCTCAACCTATTTAATCGGATTAAATGCTTGGTGCATATGTACGCACGGCATGATCGGATCATTTCAGTTCGTGTCCATGTGAACAGAGATTCGGAAATTCCGATCAACCAAGATTTCAATCGGATTGAGGAAATTAGGCACATGAAAACGCAGCTAGTGATTCAAGCCAGGTGTGCTGGTGCAGGTAGTGGCCTTCAAGGTCCAGGATTCAATAGCTCTGGTTTAGCCAGACCAGGTGGATAAAGATCCTCTTTTTAACCAACTTGAGAAGGAAGCGATGCCGAAAAAGGAGTTAGCCACCAGCTAGCAATAGCTGACCTTTTATTTTGGGCCATTTTGTTCTTCCTGTTTTGCAGAAGTCAGGATTTTTATTTTTTGTCCTCCTCCTCCAGCTGAGAGGGAGCGAGCAGTCCTTGTGGTGAGTGTATAGGATTCTTATGTGCTTGCTTCAGACTGCATAATGCAGACAGCCCAGTCATCAGAGGGAGAGTGCTTGTTTTGGCCTGCTCTCAGCTCCCTTAGCTACACAACATGCTGGATCATTTTTTTTAGCAGCTGCTTTTAACCAAGCGGATTTGTACTACATTTGATGTTTCTAACATTTGACAACATTTCATTTTAAACTGTAAATGATGGAGATGGTAAAACACTCCTGGCCTCTAACATGGTTCTCACACAGTTCAGTAAATGTTAAAGCTGCTATAATAAATCAAGTAAACCTCCACTCGTTCTTTGGCTCTGTGTGAATCCGTCCTGGAGAACATTCTTTAAGAATATCCCAGAACAACTGGAGCCCACCTGCTGGTCTTTGAATCAAAAGTGTTTTGATCTTCATCTTTCTGCTTTCTTATGAACGTCAGCTGCTGTCATGTTTATTTTCTTAGAGATGCTTGTCAGACGTTTTCATCTGATTTTGTAGCATTGATTATTAGTTTTAACTCATTCACTGCCAGCCGTTTCCTGATCGCTAACGGCCTTCGCTGCCAGCGTTTCTCACCGTTTTTACTGTTTTTTTAAGAGTCACAGAACGTTGCGCGCTAGGATGATGTTGACGCCAAAACAAAGAGGAGACTCACCTCTTACATCAGGAAGAAGCCGTGTGTTTCGAGCGTTATCCGTTCTTTCATAATCCGTTGTCGAATTGTGATCGGCAGACGCTTTTCCGGTTCGCGCCTCACTTTTTTTACAGGAACGGCCCAAAACGATCTCCAAACACATGGATGTTCTGCTTCCTGATCACGTGACGTGTGACGTATGCGGATGAAGAACGGCTTCAGGGCTGAGATGTTCGTTCTCTCAGCGCGGGGACTCGTTCTGATGCTCAAAATGTAAAAAAAAATGCAAATGACGACTTAAGTCGTCAATGGCAGTGAATGAGTTAATAAATCACCCTTCAGTCTGCTGATTAAGCGCTAACCTTTAGGTGATCCTTTATAGTCCTTGCAGTGTCGCGGAGGGCTGGTGCCCATCTCCAGCAGTCTCCAGGCAAATAGGCAGGGTACACCCAGGGCAGGTTGGCAGTCCATTGCAGGACAACACAGAAAAATGCAACACACACACACACACACACACACACACATGCACACGCACACAAATTTAGAGACACCAATCAACCAAGCAGCCATGTTCTTGACTATGGGAGGAAGTCTGAGTACTCGGAGAGAAACCATGCATGCCCCCCCCCCCCCCCCCCCCCCCCCCATTATTCTCCACGATGATGCAAGAAGCTATTTATTTAAAGGCTGTCTGAGACTGTTGAGTTGGCTGAGACACTGGTCAATGGTCCACTCTGCGGGGCTGGTAGCTACTTTCTCCTGTGGTTGTTTCTAAAGAGTCGATTACGATTCTCTTCACTGCTTCGCTGAGGGAGATTTGATGTTCTTCAGCCATCGTCACAATGTTAAGCGTCAAGTCAACCAAGGTTGGCGGGGAAATTTCCCTTAGTGAAGTTTCTCTAGTGAGATGCAAACTGAACGCAGAAAGACCCCAGGCTTGGGTTGTGAACCCACGATCTTCTTGCTGCAAGGCAACAGTTCTAATCACTGCTCCACTGTGCAGCCCATGAAATGTAGTTTTTCCCAAATTTAAAGTGACAATTTGTAGTTTTTACCATTAATCGGTGGAAATATCCATCGAAAAATTGTAGTCAATGACTTAAAAGATGCCCATTTAAAAAAAATATGGGTGGTTTCATAACGTATAACCATAAAAATCAGTTCTAAAATACATGGGAGCGGGTGTAAGTCTCTGGGCGACGTCATATTTTTCTTCTATGGAAGTCCGTGAGGACAAAATGCATTTACTGATATGTAACAAATGGTTCCCAAACTTTCTCCGTTAATAAACATTGTTGCTGTACACTTTTACCTCTTCACCAGTGATGGATGGGAAAATGATGATCTAGTTATTTTGCTGGAGGTTGCACTCCCAGGGATTTTTGACCCTAATGGCCATCCGTTGGTACGGTCTTATTTGAACACAAAAATAATGCTTGCTTGCAGCAATTTAGGTATGTACTGCCCCCTATCTCCAGGGAAAATGCACACTGTCACTTTAAGTCTTCATAAACTGCAAATATAAACAAACTGATAAAATTGATTTATTGTCCAGGTCTAATTTTATTGTTTGTGTTCTTTGCTCTGAATCACAGAAGCCTCAAACTTAAAGCCTAACGGAACGCAGGGGATGCTCAGGGTTACGTATTGTTGGACTAAATCTGGATTTTGTCGGCTATTAAATAATGAGCCTGACAAACTATATTAGATGGACGCTTTTAGAGGTTTGTGCTAATAATAATTTCTTGCAGCAGTAACTTTTCACTATGGGTTTATGGTCAATATGAGTTTTATTGGCTGCACCTGTGAAGGTGTTTGTGTTTTGTGGCTTGCAGCTCTACCACTTATGTTGCTGCTCGTCGTCCTGCTGGTGGCACGGTCTGGTTTAGATCTATGCATAACAGAAAGGCAAATCCAATAATGTTTCCTTTCTCAATCATAAAAAATTAATAACCCAATTTTTGTATCTCGCCCATCGTTTTTTCCACCATCTCTCACTCAACAGACACATTCTTATTGATGTTTTAAAAATGTTTTTATGTCCAGCTCCAGAACCTGGGTGTGAACCCGGCCAACATCGGCTTCAGCTACCTGACCATGGAGTCAGACAAGTTCATCTGCATCAGGGAGAAGGTGGGCGAGCAGAACCAGGTGGTGATCATAGACATGTCGGACCCCACCAACCCAATACGGAGGCCGATCTCTGCTGACAGCGCCATCATGAACCCTGCAAGCAAGGTTATCGCATTAAAAGGTAAGCTTGTGATGCAGAAATTAACACGTCTGATGGGTGAGAAAAGGTTGAGGAGAGAGGTGTTTCTCATTTTGTAGCAACTGTAGAACAAATGCTGTTTTAGATTAAAATTGGTTAATTTAGTGATGCACCGATATGAAATTTTTGGGCCGATATCCGATAATAAGATCACTGTTTTGGCCGATAACCGATATTTGCCGATACCGATATCCGATAATAAGATCACTGTTATGGCCGATAACCGATATTTGCCGATACCGGTATCCGATAATAAGATCACTGTTTTGGCCGATAACCGATATTTGCCGATGCCGATATCCAATGATAAGATCACTGTTGTGGCCGATAACCGATATTTGCCGATACTGATAATAAGATCACTGTTATGGCCGATAACCGATATGTGCCGATACCGATATCCGATCATAAGATCATTGTTATGGCCGATAACCGATATTTGTCGATACCGATATCCGATAATAAGATCACTGTTTTGGCCGATAACCAATATTTGCCGATACCGATATCCGATAATAAGATCACTGTTTTGGCCGATAACCAATATTTGCCGATACCCGATATTAAGATCACTGTTTTGGCCGATAACCAATATTTGCCGATACCGATATCCGATGATAAGATCACTGTTATGGCCGATAACCGATATTTACCGATACCGATATCCTGACATTAATGCTTCTAAAATCAGCAGATTTTGTATAGAATGAAATTATTAAAGCTGAATGTACGTTATGTACACACACCACACACGTTTACGGTTCTGAGATGATTTCATTCACGGTTCACTTCACTAAACAATTACACATCACCCTCTGAAACAGGCAAACAAATGGAGACGAGATGGAAAAAATATCACTTGTTAATATCGGCCCGGTTTTATTTATCAGACCGATACCGATATGTTAAAAAATGACTAACATCGGCCGATACCTAAATAGATTCCAATATATTGTCCATCCCTAAGTTTATTATTAAAATATTTGTTTCTAAAACAATGTTGAGATCTACCTTTCATTTCTGTGATGAAGCACAGTGATTAACACACGCATCAGTTTTCTAATTGTACTAAAGCAGCTCTTCTGATTGGTCCTCTGCCTTTAAAGCACAAATGCCAGCTCTGAGCAGGATGATTTGCCTGTAATGCTTTTTCCTTCCTTTCCACCTCCCTCTGAGGAATAAAACACTCCTGTTTGCCTCCTCCCTGTGCTCGATCTTTGTCTTTTGATTCTTGCCTGATTGACACTTTGCTTTTTCCCCCCCTCGCTTTCTATCATTTCTCAGATGGTGAGTTTGTTTCTGTCTGCCTGGCACTCTGTTGTGATGATACAGTAGCCACGTCGCTCTCATAAAAGCCTCCCCCTGTCCTTCACAAGTATGCAGAGCTATTTCAAACACTCATCCAGCAAAGGCGAGCAAATGTTAGAAGCCTTTTAATGGCTGAGCCTCTGCTCTGAGGAAAACCTGCAGGCACACACACACACACACACACACACAACATATGTTAGCTTGACGTGTGTGTGTGTGTGTATGCATGCTAAGCATCATCAGACGTTAAACAGTGGAAGGAACTGGGGTCTTGATGTGAGTGTGTGTGAGTCTCCATATAAACTCTGTTAATCTAGAAAGCCAATAAAGTTTCATGACATTTGTTTGTGCAACAATTCTGCTCTTCGCCCAACTTGCTGCTTTATTGGATAACGAAGGTTGGCGCTAGTCCGATGTGGGATTAGCGGCTCTATTTTAGAGCTATCAAACGTCATGACTTCATCAATGCAAGTCATGCTGATTGTACTTAGAGCTGCCATCTGCTCTCTGTAGCTGGAGGGTGGGACTTCTTTTGCATTTTTCAGTTCTGATATTTTCTAGTTGGCCCAGGTTTGGATGTATGAATTAGTTTTAGATGTTTGTATTAAAGTTCGGCTATTGGACAAATTGGTACCACCTGGGTGACCTAGTGGTATGAGTGTCCGCCCTGAGACTGGGAGGGTTAGGGTCAAGCTTGGTTTATGCTTGACGCATTCACTTTACGCTTGGTGATGCGACTCGCGGATGGAACGCACTTCACAACTCGCAGCGTTTATGGTTCATGCGGCTCGTCTCTGCGGTGAGCCAATATTCTCCCAAACTGTAGGGGGCAGCATGGAGCTCTACGGCATGCATCCAACACTACACCATAGAAGTAAAAATTACTGTTATTTACAACATGGCATTCCAGCATTTTTAACAGCGTCCTCGTCTTTTCCGACAGTGCGAGCTATTTCTCTCCAAGAATTATTAACAACATGTTGATCACGGTGATCTCTGAGAGCTGAATCATACAAATGTCTGTATTTACCAACCTCTGCCATACTAGTTCTTGCCGGTCCGCCATGTTTTTCCGCGTCCGACCGTCCGCGTGGTTAGAAAATTTCCTAGGTGCGCGGTGTGGAAAGTTTGGGCCGTGCGGAGGGGCGTGGTTGTTAAAATGACGCAATTTTGCCGCGCGGAGCCGTCGGACGCGTCAAGCATAAACCAAGCTTTAGGGTTCCAATTCACGGTCGGGTCGTACCAAAGACTTTAAAAATGGGATCCAATGTCTTGTCCAGTGACACTCATTAAGAGGTTTGATTGGGAGATTAAACCACCAAATAGTTGCCTATGTGGCCATGTCCGCAGCTCACCGCTCCCCACAGGGACGGGTCAGGTGTGTGGAAGAAATTTCTCCACACGCAACTAATAAGACTTTAAACTTTGACTTTACATTTATTGACCATAGAAGAAAGTCTGAGCCATTCACTTATGGTTATGTTTTATGTTTACGAATTAGGCGTGCAGATTGGAAATGACATACTTTGACATCAAATCAGCATCTCTTTTGCAGCACTCCATGGCAAAATACATATCTTAAGTTTGAGAAAGCTAGGATTTTTTAGTCAGTGGTACAAAAAGCCATTGACATTTGGAAAATGATGATCTTTCACCTGAGGGATCCTTGTGTTCTTCTGCAAACTGATTAAAGGGCTACTTTGCAACATTTTCCATAGTTTTACATTATTTTCTTGAGCCAGTATGTGCTAAAATGACCCTTTACAGGGTTCATGAAAAGTCACCCGTCCTCTGTCGCCCCCGTGGCCAGCCCCTCTGTTGGGGCGCTGCAGTTTGGTTCCAGCTCATTTCCTGCATGTTTTAGATCGTGATCTGATTCGTTTATTTTAGTGATGAATTGCTCCTTTAGACACTAAGGAAGGCAGGCAGGCATTTCAGCTGTTTGATTAAGGTTTTAAAAAGACGACTGGGTTTTGCTAGGGGGTGCTAAAAGCAAGTACAGCCTAGTTCCCCTCTAAGAATGATTGTAATTGGTGAATTGGTGTGTGTCAGGCTCACAAAAGGTCAAAGCATCACCTGCATGAATAGATCTCCCATCTTCATTTGTTGGACGGATGCATATCTGTTAAAGTGTTCACACATTGCCCAGCCTTAATTCGTACGCCATCAAATTTATGAGGAACATTTGTTTTGGCTTTTGTTGCAGGAAAAAAAACCTTCTAGTCTCTGACCCTTTTGTCTCACTTCTCCATCCCTTCACCTCTCCTCAGCTGCCAAAACATTGCAGATCTTCAACATTGAGATGAAGAGTAAGATGAAAGCTCACACCATGACAGAAGAGGTCATGTTCTGGAAGTGGATATCTGTAAACACCGTTGCCTTGGTGACCGATGCTGCTGTGTACCACTGGAGCATGGAGGGGGATTCCCAACCGGCCAAAGTGTTCGATCGGCACGCCAGTCTGGCTGGATGTCAAGTCATTAACTACAGAACTGATGAGCAACAGAAGTGGTTGCTGCTGATCGGGATTTCTGCACAGGTATGAGCACGTTCACTCCTGCCTCGTGGATTCTGCAACCCGGTTGGAAACTACCCAGCACGATCATTTTCACAACTCAATCTGAAACTGTCATTTAAACGAAGTTCCAAAAGAACATTTAGCACATTTTCTCTTTAATTTTGAATCTGGCTCCAATCCCAGCCCAGAGAGATGCTGACTGATGACCTTAGCGATGCTCTGCTTTGAATTTAAACCATAAAACAGAAATCGGGTGTGAGCGGTGATGAAGGTGTGTTTTCTCATCATAAAGATTCACCCAACAAAGAAAAAAAGGTCAAATTATGTTTTTCAGAATGAGTGACCTACTTACACAGAAATGGGTCATAACCACCAGACTGTGCATTAAAGATGGATGTAGTCACTGATGTCGCTTTTTACTGAGTGGAGCACCAGCTTAAAGCCTTCATTCAGTCTTTTTCTCGGTCCACCATTTTTACCTTTTGCATAGAGATGTGAGGAAGAGATTTCAGAATCCTATTCACATGAATCACCTGTTAAAGAGATCATACACTCATTAATATATTACACTATTTAAGGCTTTATAACTCCTAATTGCCTTCTACTAATGCAAAATGTTGATTAACACAAATATTTATACTAATTAATAATCTTTTATTTTATCAGAACATTTTAATTACAATAACTTAAAGGGACATTATGGAAGTTTGACAGCCAAAACATGTATAGAAATAATAAAAATGTTCTTCATACGTTCTCCTGCAATGCCCTGGTCCTGTAGAATGAGCCCTGGCATTTTTACTGTGATTGCCTGTTTTTCTGTAAAATCACAGAAAGAGAGAGATGCTCGGGTCGAGCAGGCTGCTTCATGCGCGTTCACGCTCAGGCATCGCCCGTAGCATTTGCTATCCGTAGCTTTAGCAGCAGAGAGAGAGGCAGTGCCACTTTGTCGCTGTTCCTAACGCCTAGTGACAAAGCTAGCTACATTTCTGAGGACCCTTAGCTACTTTCTGTAGAACTTTCTTCTAGATATTTCCTGCTAATTAGCAACAAAATAGCCATTTTCACTCCGAACCGTTCTTTGAACGTTGTTTCAGCTGCCATCAAGGATATAAATGTTACAGATACAAAGGATGTCGCTGGCGCTTTAGCTCGCCTAGTAAGACATTGGGCTCTCGTGTTGAAGACCCGGGCTCAATTCTCGATGTGAACATAGTTTCTTTTTTACATTAATGGTATATTTTTTTACAGTAAGATGCCCAAATTTTTATTTGAGACTCGCCGAACGGCATTGAATTCACAGATAAAAAAGATGTGGGTTCAACTTTCATTTTGGAACAATTTTTCAAGCAAGGGAAGGGAATGATCTGAGCATGCAGGAGGACTGACCCATCATAAACCTTTGTCGGCTGTGCTGAAGAGAAAGCTACAGAACCACATTATTTAATTAATTAGCTGCGTGTTCTCCTGTCCTCTGTCCTCCGGGACACACACACACACACACACACACACACACACACACACACACACACACACACACACACACACACACACACACACACACACACACACACACACACACACACACACACACACACACACACACACACACACACACACACGGGACTGTCTCAGCTGTTATTTTCGTTAAGGAGTGTGCACGTACAGCATGCGCGCCTCGTGCACGAGCCTACTATTGGAGCTGCCGTTATGCTTTTGGCCTGAGGGGGGCGATCGCGAGCATAAAAATTCAAAACTCCGTAAAGTCCCTTTAACAGTTAAAGTCACCATGCAAGTGCTGTTGGCTGCTAATGCTAGGCAAACTAACCGTATTTGCCAATTGAAAAAGAACGCACAGAACAAGTACGTTTTATACACTTATGCTAATTATTTATGTCACAACTTTTTACAAACAAACCACCTCTGGTCAGAAGCCCTTTCCTTCTACTTTCGGATGCGGTTTTGGCCGAAACGTTCAGCTGGATCCCCTTTGTTTACACCGCTGTCTGCTGGGTAACTCCAAATCTGAGAGCGTTGCTAGTATCGGCAAGTCGTTCTCAGATGAAGGACCTTTCCCACCCCAAAACGTGGGGAACAAATAAACCTGCTACCCTTTATCTGCACCACACTGAAAATCCGCTCTTACACATAAAAACGGTCACTGCTTTGCTTTGTTTGCCTTCATTTTGGCTCATTCCAATTCCAGCTGTGTTAAATTGTCCCTGACCTTACCCGGCTTTGGAAAATGGATAAAAAAGATCCCGTCTTATATCCAATCTGGGTGTCTAAAGTCTGACTTGCACCACCCTCAACAGCAGTGTTCCTTCCTTCCTGTTTAAACATCTTTAGGAGACAACACTACAAGTTTGCGACGAGCAAAGCGACTGACCCATAGGCACTCATGCAAAATTTGCACTTGCTTGTCTTTTGCGACGTTATGTCACTCTACTTCAGTGGTCCTCAATAGGCTGCTCGCGGGCCCCCTCTTTGTGCCCACTCTATTTTTTAGCTACTGTAAAGTTAGCAATGCTGTCAAGTGCACAATGCATTCCAGGTAGATGTTGAATAAAATGCAGAGTTGATAGTTGGGTGGAGTAGAAACACCCAGGAGTTCTGAATTTAATCAGAAAACTCGGACCAGACGCTTCCCAGACACGTCCAGCACCGTCAAAATGAAGGCGGTGTATTAACTGCTGCCTCCTAGCAGTCGGAGGTGGAATTACATGGGACAAAAGAAACAGGATTGTTGACAATTTCATGTAAATTCTCAAAAAAATAAAATAAAATACGCTGATTTGAATATCAATTCAGCATCATAACATGAAATACAGCGATATTTCAGTGCATCTGTATTTTCTTATGCTTTATGCTGAATCCAGGGTGACTCGGGATGCTGCATTGAGCTGGTGTCGCTGTACTTATTGTGTTTCCAGGGATTATGGTTTTAGATACTCGTCATTCAGTTGTATAGAGGTGCTGTTCGGGGTTAACTAATGGGCCATTCCCATCTGTACCGGGTCGGCCCGGGCCGGGTAGCGTAGGTTGTTTACATATCTGGGTGGCCTGGTATTTTTCCGGGCCAACCAGGGCTCATTCTCAGTCCTCTTCTCGAGGGGGTCTGCTTCAGGCCGACCAGGGCCAACACACCCACTGCTGACAGCAAATTCACACCTTCCATTAGAGCAAGCCTCTGATTGGTGGGTAGAATCAGCCCACATGGGCTTAAGGCAAGGATGTGTGGAATCAACCGGGCCAGGCTGGGGCCGACTGGGGCTACCCGGCCCGGGCCGACCTGGTACAGATGGGAATGGCCCATTTCAAACCATCACTGAGCACTGCTTAAGCCTGGTTCATGCTTCTCCGTCAGCTCCGCGAGGGACAGACACGCACGGATTGACGGAAGCGTTTTGCTCTCATACTTCTCCGTCTCCTGGGGAGTGTTGCAAAG